ATATATATATATATATACATATATATATATACATATATATATATATATATATATATATATATATATATATATATATATATATATATATTTTTTTTTTTTTTTTTTTAAATAAATATTATTATTTATTTTTGCCTTCTTATTTCTGACTGATCACCCCAACCATTCTTCTCTTCATTGAAATAGTTTCAATTATCAAATTAATATAAAATCTAAAATTTTCAACAATATGCATAAATAAATACACATTTTTAAAAATAATAATATTAAACTATGTTTTAAAATTGAATTAAAAGATTATTATCTAAGAGAAAAAACAAGAAAAATACCCGGCCAGATTACATGCCGATGTACAATATGGAATTTTTGCCATAATATGCACAGGATAATATTCCAGATTACCCTACCAATTCTCTATAATTTGATATAAATGAGACAAAAAAAAGTATAATTTTCTCATACCTTCTGCACTCGTTGGCTTAAATATTTCTAACTCACCAATATTTTCCATACCCTGGTAAATTCTTAACCTTAAACTACTATAAATTGGGCATTTAAATAATATATGATGAAGTGTTTCTTTTTCTTTAGTGTTGCACATTTTGCACTGAAGTTGTGGAGTAATTTTCGCAATTTTATTATTTACAGAAATCTTCATATATTTTTCCAAGATTCGGATCTGCATTAATAGTTTCATACATTTGAAATTAGTCGGTAACAACAAATACTGGGGGTCTGATCATTCGAAAAAAGGTTTAAATGTTCACTGTGCAATGGTATCCTGTCTCGGTCCTGCACATTTTGTTTATATTTATTTATTATCCTGATAATATTTGTTCTAATTATGGCTGAGTTGGTTTCATAAACTAGATTGCCTTCCCCAATAGTATCTAACAATACTTTTAACTGAGAACACCAATTATATTTCGATAGAGAAGAAGAATTAGCTGAGTGACATTTATTTCTTAGCTTTTCGAAACATATTTTTGGATATCTACATTCCTCCATTTCCATAAGTTTGACCAATAAATTCAATGAACACTTCATAATATTGAAACCAATATGAATAGACCCCGTCTCTAAAAAGTTTGGGGTTGTTTTTCATAGCGAATATTTCTTTTTATAAAAATTTGTATTGATCTTTTTTAAGATCTCTATGTACCGAAGACTCCATACTTGGGCACAATATAGCAAAGATGTATTGATGGTAGCTTTTTTCAACTTATTTCTCACCTTCCTGAGGTTCGTTTTAGCTTTAGAACAAATGTTTATGATACTATCCATTGTCCAGTTTGACTTTGAGATTGCCATCTTAACTGCTTGCGAAAACAAACCAGACCTACAAAAGTGAACACCTAAATAATTGTATGTAATGACTATCAATCAGTTCTCCATCCAAATATATACTATTATATTCCTTTGGGCGCCCCCTAGCGAAATTCAAAATTTTCGTTTTATCAATGTTTATTTAGTTAGTTTATAGTTATTAGTTTAATGTATTATATACATTTAAAGCATATTTTTTTTTAAAAGGTCGGTACAGAAATCAGCAACAATAGCCATGTCATCGGCAAACAAGAATAACGTAATATACTAATAAATTATAAAAACATATATCGAAACATTACTTTTTTATGTAAAAAATAATTTAATTTTAAAATATTATTTTGAAAAATGTATTTAATTAAAATTTAATAAATCATTTTTGAACATTCGTCGTCTTCAATGCTTAATTTTTAAAAAATTAATTTACAATTAATTTAAACAAATTAAAAATCCTTCATATATTTTTGAATAAAACTATTCTGTGTAGGGGTATGCATTTATCGCAAGGCTATTATCATCGGGTCCAGACATCTCATCAGCTCCCTTCCTTGCCTTCCTCTACTTTACCTCAATAACCATCCCATCCATTTTTCCTACAGTCAAAAACCTAGGAGTAACCTTTGACCAGAACCTCTCCTGGGACAATCATATCTCCCAGATTACTCGAAAATCCATAACTGCCCTTAAACAACTCCTAAGATTCCGTGATTGTATTCCTCTAAAAACCAGACAGCTCCTTGTAACCTCCCTTGTATTCCCCCACTTCTACTACGGCTGCCTTTTGTATGGAGGGATATCTGCCAGGCTGGCAAAATGAGATTAAAAAGACTCATGAATTGTTTCATAAGATACATTTTCTGGATCCCCAGACGTTCACATGTTTCACTATGGTACACCGAGTTGAATTGGCTTTATCCTATTTCCCGACGACAATTCCTTCTTGGTGATTTCCTTTTCCAAGTCTTCAGAACTAAAAACCCTCCCTACATCCTGGAACTCCTTACTCTGCGCTCCTCTATCCACTCTCTCAATACTAGGTCTCAACCTATAGACTTATATATTTCTTCCCATAAAACTTCCTCCTTCAGCAAATCCTTCGTCATTCGTGCTGCTTCCTTATAGAACTCACTTTCTACCCCCATGCGTCAATCCTCATCCACAAATTCCTTCAAACAACTCCTGTTCCAACACCTACTCCACATTCAAACTTCCCCTAACATGTAAAATTGCTTGCATCTATACAATGTTTAATTTCAATCCATTGCACAATTGAAATAACAATTAACAATAAATTAGTTGGTATTTTTATTATGTCATACTAAGATACATAAGTTTATAACTCTGTTATTATTCTTAGGGGACAGTAGTCCCAGAATAAAATTATTTTTTCATTTCATTTTCATATGCGCAATGTTGCTAGTTTTATCCAATTTTAGTTGTGCCAATTTATAATGCATTGTCACTTCCAATCGACACGCGTTAAATACAATCAAAATAGGAAGAGAATATATGCTAAAATTTGAAGTGAATTAAAAAAATAAAGTAGTTAAATAATTTTCTGAGGTACGCGTCTCATATATAGAACCAGAATCTCTTGCATAGTCAGGTTCGCGACAATCAGCTTCCTAGAGTGTTCCAATGGATCTAATGGATATCCCGGATAACCTTATACTTATAACCTAAGGAAAGGCAAATAATTCAGAAGATAAAGGTTTTTGGAGATAAAGTTGAACAATAGAACTTACAATAAGTTGCCATAATGTATGATGATACCCAGAGCAAGTCTATCTCTTCGTTGGTACACCATATCAGAAAAATATGTGTCCTCCAGATACTAGAAACGCTGAAAAAATGCCTCTGGGTTGAAAAAAGAATATCCACATTTAAATAGTAGTAATTATCTTATTTTGATAACAAAATTAAGAATAAAGAACATACAGATTAAAAAAAAATTAACCAATACCAGATTTGCAACTCGATTGTGGAAAAGAGAGAGGTAGGAAAGTTAGTCAAATTCGATTCCTACAAAGCAATGTATATATATTGTTATATGGAGACAAAAGTCACCCACTGGGTCACCCAACACAAGCAGTTAAGCAAGATTACTGTAGAAATGAAATTTTTGCGAAGAATATTGGGAAAAAAAACAAACAGGAAAGATAGAATAAGAATGAAGGGATAAGATAAGAACTCTTGGCACCTTCCCTAAAAGAAATATAAAATGCCGAAAACTTGAATGGCTGGACTGAATGTGCCTGCGGACTGTAATTTTGACTAGTCTAATAAATAAATACATTATTCCATTTCAAATTATAAATATTAAAATGCTAGTATAATATACTGATAAATTATAAAAATATATATCAAAACATTAGTTTTTTTATGTAAAAAATAATTTAAGAGGAGTCGGTTGGAGGGTGCGGTAAAATAAATAATAAATTTTTAAAATAGTATTTTAATCGTTACCCCTAACGTGGCGTATATACATAATAGTATATATAATAGTATTTTAACAATTTAGTATTTATTTGACCGTACCCACCGACCAATTCCTTTATTATATCACGATCCACCATCTGTACACCATTAAAAAGTAATTTAATTTTAAAATAATATTTTGAAAAATGTATTTAATTAAAATTTAATAAATCATTCTTGAACATTCGTCTTCAATCTGTATCATCAGGACACATATGTAGAATTGGGAGAGACAGAGTACCCAAGAAGTTTATGGAAACGCGGTCAGTTGATATGAGGCATTGTGGAACATACCCTACGACTGTACAACTACCCTAGCTCAGTTGAAGGAATTAACGAGAGATCGAGGTTTGCGATGAAAGTGGCTGAAGGCTCCTCCACTCTGAAAGGCACATAAGGAAGAAGAAAAAGAAAGAGAGAAGTTAAAAAAAATTAAATTTTTCATTCCACTGAAAACATTTCTATCAATAGCCCACCAAAAAGGGGCCTGATTAAAATAAGGTAAAAAACAAGAAGATACTGAAATGTTCATTATAATCATGTCTCAGGCAATAATTATTAAATTTTCTAAATTATTAAGCAATAAGTAAAACATTCGAATGCTATACTTTATATAAATAAGACAAGAATATTAAACAACTAGTTGACAACTGAACCTTCTACCAAGCATAGATAGTACGGTGCTTTACTCATCCGATCTATTGGCTGAAACCCAAGCTATTAATGACATAATTGTGCATCCTTACTAGAGGCGAATCATAATAAATAACCTGAAAGTGGCGCGCTGCTCAATTCTGACACCTTTTAGAAGAAATATTCACCTATCAAAGTTGCATGCATTCTTGAGTCAGAACAATATTCGAAAATTTTGTAGGTTTATACTTGGCCGTCATTTTTAAAATTATGACCTTTAATGGCAGACAAGGTTTATTTTTATATAAATTTTCTCCTAAAATTGATACCCTATTTCGGCCCTGGCTCTAGAACATTTCTAGGTAGCTGAGTTAGCCACTTAATTCGCCCCTGATCCTCATGAAACTACAAATAATTTAAATGTACATTTATAAAAAAATAAATTAAATTAAATGAAAATGAAGATTACGTTAAATATATTTTTATATAAGAATTATTTTAGATACTTCATAACTAGAATATATGTTGTTATATTAAAGAAAAATCGTTAAAATTTACTGTTTCACAGATTGGCTTCGGTTACAGCCGTGGAAGATGTTTAAAGTACGGACTTCCTTGCGCTATCTATGCTTGATCCACGCCTTGTCATTCGGAAGTGCCCTGGACGCCGCGAACTGGATGAGGGACAACATAGCATGGCTTGGCTACAGGACACTCAAGCAGCTCTGTGTCCCAGGAACTCACAATTCTGGAATGAATAGATTCAGTGGTGGGACTAGCTTTGCTAAGCCCTGCAACACCCTAAATCAAAGCCAGAGCATCCTGAAACAGCTCGAGCTGGGGGTTAGGTACTTGGATATAAGACCTGTGATAGCAGATGGCAGGTTATTGACAGGACATTATACTAAGATAGCCAGCTTCTCTTGGCAAGGAGGAAATGGCCAGTCAATGGATTCTATCGTCGACGAAATTAACAGCTTTACCAGGAGCCATAATGAGTTGATCATGATCAGTCTATCGCATGCCCTCAATACCGACGTTGGTAACAGATATTATAGAGCTTTCATCAAAGAAGAATGGGACAGGCTCTTCCGTCTTTTGGATAGAACGAAATTCTTGATAAACGGTACATCGTTCACATTCTTCCCATGGATGACTTTGTCAGATCTGACCAAAAATGGAACTACGGCTGCAGTTTTATATACCGTCGATAGCTTGTTCACTTCGGTCTTCGTCGGGAAGCGTGTAGGGTATGGATTCTTCTACAGGAATAGTCTAGGACCTTTTAACAGATTTTCGGATTCGAACATATTTTCCACTATGTTCGATGATCAGATTAAGAAGATGAGGATTTGGTCAAAGAGTGCTTACTTTTTACTCTCGTGGACTCTAACCCAGTCACCGCTTGACGCAACTCTGTGTCCTTTACGAAACAGCCTCCACCAACTCGCCCTTGAGGCTAACAAATTTCTCAGGAATCTATTAAAGGAAACAACCAGCAGTGCCTTCCCAAACATCATATCTTTGGACTTTGTCGAAACTCCGTTGGTAACTGAAGTAGCAATAGAAGTCAACAGAAAAGTGAAGTATTGAAATGCTGGTAGTTGATTGCGAAACATTATTAAGTACTTGTTGGCCCGTACTAATAATTCGTTAATAATATCCGAGAGAACAAGAGACTAGATCTTCGTGCAGTAAAAATCCAACGTATTTAAACTTGAAAAAAAAAGTAATTTATTTTATCTAATTCAGCTGAAAATAATGCCCCACCTCAATTGCTCCAATTACTCAATATTTTAAACTCCCTCATACAGCCCCTGTTTAGTATCCTCCAACAGCTTGCACAGGTGACTCAAGCTATGTATCCACAAAATGGCCGCTAATCAGCTGACTGCAGGCTCTTTGTCCATCCTTTTGTGGAGACATGGCCACAGCTGACATACCTCAGAACATGAGCAGGAGACTAAAAAGGCGTTGGATGAGGGATCCCCTTCCTTAGACAACCTAAGTAATTGGAACAAGTTAGGGAAGAGGTACTGCTGAGTACTTTCCTTCCCCATGCCTGTCATGTCATTATTTCCTGTATCGTCATCACATTTGCTGATTGTCAACAATATTTTGACAGGCGCAAATATATTTGTTATTGACAAAAAAAAAAAAAAAAAAAAAATTATTAAGTAAATCTGATCAAACTTAGTGTTAAGCTTCTAAATTAAAATAATTTGTAATGAGAAGAAAAAAATAAAATTTAAAATTAAAATTGAACATCAAAATTTAAATTTAAATATGTGAGTTTTTCAAGCGTTCAAATATTATTGCTGATGCTCTTTTTTCAGATTAATTGCCAAATTTCGTTCAGAAAATCTACATATAAATGACGTTCTATTTCCATCAGGAGTAGGAATTGATTCAACACAATACTTTTCGCAATTAAGAAAATTTGGCCGATAAATAACACTTAGACTAGGTTCTAGACCACATTAGTCACTCGCAATAAATGATAAAACTTTGGATGAAACGTTTGCCCATACCTTCTCTAATCACTAGATCAAGTTCCAAGCGACTACAACTTATTCTGGCCTCTCCATAACTCCATGAATCGAAAGCAATTCCAAAACGAAGATGAACTTAAAAACCAGCTTAGTCGTCCTATGAAAGTGGCATTATCCAATTAGTGGAAAGATCGGAAAAGGTCCTTCTAAATAATGTAAATAAAATTTATTTCTATAATAAATCGATTTTATTTCGCCCATCAAAACCTAAAGAAAGGACTTATTAGGTAATTTTAGACTGTTTTTTATGTTCTTAAGAGTTCAGTCTAAGTATCCTGAGCTCTTATGAACTTAAAGGACTTATTTGTCAGATTTGGGGTTGGGTGGACTCATGTTCTAAATACGCTTTGCCCGGCAACCAATCGCTTAAGAAACTGAAGTTCACAAAACATAAAACAATTGCGAGTTTCTAGCATTAATCCCCCACCCTCTTCTCTGGCCCGGGAAATTCCGTATAGCTTATAAAGCTAGACAGTGTTTTAAAAAATACAATGGATTATTAGAGTGAAGAAATAGTTGTCTCTTCCTTGTTCGATTACAGTAGTTTATTGAAAATAAGGAACCATGACATATTTTTCAATTACTATTGGCTGTATCTATCCTAAAAATGGTCAGATTTTGATGATTCTTTTTTTCATTTTGTAGAAATGAATGAGGAATTACTGAAGAGTAGTATTACAGAAAACAAGTGTTAGAAATAATGCATCATGTTATTCCGATGCTGGGACACGTAAAAACCAGTTCACTTTTCATTTGTTTTCCAAATAATAAATTTTACATTAAATATTATCTCGGAATTACACATTTGTTAATTATAAGGTTGCTTGAAGTGTCTCAGAGCTCTCCTAAAATATAAATAAAAAATTTTAGAAGATATGTACAGTATTTTTTATTAATTGCCCTAATGACCCGTGAATACTCTCCTTTGAATACTCGCCTTAATTTTTTTTTTAATAGATCTTTAGTTTAACATAGACTATATAATAAATAACAATATTTTAATTTTTAAAAATAAAAAGTCAAACACGATGTGCTAAAGCGGAGCCCCATAACGTTAATTAGAATACTATTTAAATAAACGGCTACTATATAATAAATAACAACTGTAATTATCATTCCTAATTTAGAATAATATCAAAATGTTTATTAATACGTAAAATAAAAGTTTTCGTCACACACAAATGTTTAAGTGGACGAAGATCAAATCCATAGTGTAAATAACGTTCGGAGGTGTTTGTAAATAGCCTTCCGTTTTGTTGGGGGTCTTGGTTATTAACACTCGTGAATATTAATTTTAAAAAACAAAATCCCGGCACTAGATATAGAATTTTTGAGGGTGTTTAATGTTGTTGGGAAATTAGGTTCCCGAATTCCCAATTCCTTTTGTGACAATGAGTGACAAGAAATAGTAAGAATATATATAAATATATGTGTTTGTGAAATGTGGGACTGAGTAAATACACTTTGAATGACACTCACCTGGTTTGTTATTCTTCAGTTGTGAGGCATATATCACAAGTAAATAAAAATACTATTCACTCCTGTATATAAAATAATTTATTTCCACAACTGTAATAAATGAATAAATGGATTGATCTTCTTAATCTTCAGTGGAGTCGGCTTCTCTCCTCTCGTAACCTTTTTTTCTTCCTGCCCCTGCCTCAAGTATCTTATTTATTCTCCCTTATTATATGGGATGTTTTCCCATTAAATTAATTTATTTAATTAGGTACTAAAAACTTATAAATACCCATTTTCTTTCCACTTACTTAAGTTAAACGATTGGTTCAAACTATGGAAAATTCGACTTAAAATTCACGAAAAATGTAAACATATAACATTTAATCTTCAAAAAAACACCTGTCCTCCAGTTTATATTGGCAACAATCAAATTCTTCAAACGCCTAAGTCACTTTATCTAGAACTTACCTTCGACAGAAGGATGACAAAGGGCCCATATGTAAAAATGAAACGTAAGACACTTAAGAAACGACTGAAAATACTTTATCCTCTTTTTTCAATAAACAGTTACTCGACTTGTAAATGTAATAAAAATTTAAATATCTTGTAAATCACTACATCACAGATTCTGCTTTTTATAGAGTTCTGGAAGATGGTTGTTGTAAGGAATATCCCACTTTGGCTTTGTCTTATCTCCACCTTATTGGCCAAGAGCAGTGCCTTGGATGCGGCAAATTGGATGAGGGACAACATCGGACTACTAGGCGAAAGACAAATGAAACAAATCTGTATTCCAGGATCACACAACTCTGGTATGTACACACTAAACGGAGGAACCGCCTTCGTCAAGAAATGTAACGTCCTAAACCAGAGTCAACCCGTTCTCAAGCAGCTTCAGCTGGGAATCAGATACCTTGACATGAGGCCCGTTATTTCTGGAGGTAAATTTAAGGCCGGGCACTATACCCAGGTCACAAATGCTTTGTGGCTAGGAGGGAACGGGCAATTCATAGACTCAATCGTCAAAGACATCAATGACTTCATCACGAACAGTGGAGAGTTAGTCATCGTATACTTATCGCACGGTCTGAATACAGACGTCGGCAGAAAATATAGAAATTTTAACAAAGAAGAATGGAACAGACTCTTTCAGCTTCTTGACGAGACAAACAATCTGTTTGAGTCCTCTGAATACGTCTATCTGCCTGAATATACTTTGGGACAGCTTACAGCTAACGGAACCAAAGGTGCGGTTCTCTATGTAGTCGGTGACGAGGAAGCAAGTTTAGGGGCACGAAAGGGCAAAGGGTTCTTCTACTGGGGCACTCTGCGGGTTTTCGACCAGTACTCGGGATCTAATAAATACCCAACTATGTTCCGGGATCAGATTAGCAAGATGAAGTTGGAGTCCGAGGACAACTACTTTCTCCTCTCGTGGATATTGACTCAGAACGCAATAGACGCGACCACTTGTCCGCTAGGCAGGAGCATCAGAAAGCTCGCTAAAGAAGCCAACTCCAATATTCAGAAGTTACTACCAGAAGTTTCGAAAACTGCCTTTCCCAACATCATATTTGTGGACTTCGTCGAATCTTCTGAGGTCACTGAAGTTGCAATAGCTATCAACAATAAAATAGTATTTTAACGGTTAATGGTCAAACAAAACATTTTAATTACTTCACGTCACATTGTACATAATAAAATAATAATAATAACCTTTATTTTTACATACAATGAAAAAACCAATGGATAAAAAATAGATATATACAAAATCTCTTAAGTTCAATTTCTTTCTTTTTTTTTTTTTTTACTTAACTTTCTTGTAACCATAATAGGTAATGAACCTGTCCCATCCGTTTCCACTCTTTCCTCTCTAATGCTACTCTCTTCCAGGCTGCTCCCCCGTAGGTCTTCTTCATCTCCTTGTCCCAGTCTGTCGGCGGGCGATCTCTCTTCATCACGTGCTCTCTTGGATACCAATCTATAAACTGCCTGGTCCATGTTAATTCATTCCTCCTGATTACATGTCCGGTCCAGGTCCACTTCCTGATGAGCACTTTTTCCACAATATCTGGTCAGTCTTAGCTCTGATCCATTTGTTTGCTTTTCTATCCCTTCGAGTTATCCCGCGAAGTTATCGTTCCATTCCTCTGGCGGTTATCCTCGATTTGTGACAAGTCTTCTGGTCAATTGTCATAATAAAAACGCTGACAAATATTTCACAATGGTTTAATATTTTCAAACAATTATACATCTAAAGTAAAATTATCTTGCTAAAAGCAAATAAAATAAAAATAATGTGAAATGATTAACTTTTTAATATAAACCATATTAAAGGTACTTTAGAGGAAGACGTATATGAACATTTAAGTCCTGTAAAGTGACATCAATGAGGATAAGCCCTAATTGATATTGAAGACCACTTAATTATACAATGATACACCGAGTTTAATCAAAATCGTTAGAGCCGTTTTTTGAGAAAATTGTGAAAATGTGTTTCAGAGTTGATATAAAGTGGCACTTCCCGTTAGCCGATTTTAAGGAAAAGCTTGCTGCCACATCTAAATCATATACCTATCTTAAATACGTAATATCAATTTCATAGGACTTTTCACATACACAAAGACACACGGTCCATTTTTCGGGACTTGGTTATTTGGACTCAGGGTACCCCAAAACGTGTATTTCCGTTGAAAACTCAGATTCAAAAATTTTCTCGATCGCAATACTTGCCCTTATTATATATTACATATATACGTAAGTGAAAGTAAAAAGGATATAAATTTTGCAGGAGAACAAATAAAAATATCTAGAGATCATATGTTTGCTCCAAATAGTTTGATTTTAAAACGATCTTTTAGGAAATTTCGTAAACTTATAAATATATAACAAAAAAGTGTATACTTTTTGAGTTATTCGGAATTTAATTTTACCACCCTAGCAACTTTTTTTCCAGCTTCTTTTCGTTGAAGTATGTTATATAGAAAAATTTAAAGGGTATCGAGAAGAAGACTTTAGCCAAGTTTCATTAAAATCGGTATTTTCGTATAGGCACTACAGTCTATAGCAACACAGTTTTGTTTCGGCCGCCTTCTAGAAAGGAAAATGATAGTAATGTCGATGAAGGAGGATCATTCTCGTGTGGCCTCTTACTTTATATCCAAATTTGAAAAAAAAATCGGATAAATAAAAATATTGGATAAATTAATTAGCCAAGACTTTTTTTTTACGACCTTCACGGTTTCCTTGTATAGGAAGGTCTTAATAATCAGAACATGTATTTTAAAAGTAGATGATGAAAAAAATTCACAAGTTAACGAAAATATATGTATTATCAGTTAAATATAAACATATTACAAAGAAAAAAATTTTAAAAATGATCATATAATGGATGTTAAGTCTCTGATTTCGTTGCGAAGGAAAATCCTTAATTTCGCCAATTCCTTAAAAGTATCAGGCTTACGTAGCCGACGTTGTATCTTCCCCTATAAGTAACTTTTAAGTTTCTATGACATCTCTATATATATTTTTTAATATTTAATAGTTGACCGTTGCATTATAAAGGAAGGAGATGGTCCGGGTTGGCGGTCATAAATAGACTAAATAAAACTATTTTATTATTTCGACCCGACTTTGCAGGTCTTTTTCAGGGAGGTGTGTTCAGCTAGGATTTTCACTTAGAACCAGTACTTAGAACTGGTTCTATAGATAATTTTTTTTTTATTATTATTATTTTAATGGAATTTACAACTGTATTACATAGAAAATACAATAAGTAAATGTGAAATTGGTAACATGACATGTACAACATGAAGAGAAACTACCCATTGGTAGAACTCAAATATAGATAAAATAAAATAGTTTTTCCACTATTTGCCACCATCTCCTTCGTTTGTACATATATATATATATATATATATATATATATATATATATATATATATATAAATTTTTTTTTTTTTAATTTACATATAATTTACCACTGCGTTGTAATGCATCAAGCAAATTCCGTTTATTTTGTTTTCGTTAATTCTTGATCCTTGTTTACATTGTCAGCAAGAGATCTCTAGGCCACTGCCTTTTTAGTCGTTGAGGCTCACCAGGTAACAGTTATAAATAACAGAACGAGTGGGTTTGGATGATTGGGAGTAGAAAAATGAAATGTTGTTTACTTTTTGTTGTGCATGTAGGATTTTACTTTTGGTATTTTCATGCCTGTATGCATCATGTGATTTGAAATAAACTAAGTAGCATTGAAGATTTTACGAAGTATTTTGGATTGTGTGGTACGAATTCTCTTTCCGTGCACCCTTTCTCTACATCACTATAACTAGCATATCGTTGCGTTCCTTGTAACTATATATTTAAAAAAAAAAAAAGCAATGATCCTACAAAAAAAGTCGCCGCAATGACCCAAAATGGCGTCCAAACGACGCCAAAGTGACGACTTTGACTTGAAATAGTTTTTCTGCCACTGAGAGCAGTTGTCCTAATTTCGGCATATTTGGTCTTTTGTTATAGCTGGATAGTCAGAGTACAATAAAGCATACAATTTTTTAAAAATAATTGGCATTGGCAATAAAAAATACCAGTAACTTCAATTTTTTTCAAGTCGTTCAAACTAAAGTTGAATATCAAGCGTCATTTGTAATTAAACGGCCAACAATATCGAAAAACGCTTAAATATAAAACGTATAGAGAATAAATCTATCTTTCTAAATCACTGATTAATTTATAATATATTTGAAACAGTTCTTTATAAAATACACTTAAACGGCAGAAAAGCTGCTCTGACGTAGGCACCAGCAAAAAGGATTGAACACAATAAATGACTTATATCATACTAGCTCACTTTTTTAATCAATTATTTATAGCCACTCTTATATCCATGAATTAGACTTCTTCAAAATAATAACTTAAATAAATGCTTACTTCACTAACTCTTATAAAGCAGGTTATTGAAGACATAAAGATGAAAATTGGCTTAACATTTTCAAGTTTCGAAAATTTCATTTATTACTTAGGTATGCACTTGCTGTAAATGTTTATTAAATTTATTTTTTATATCAATTTCAATCTTGTGGCTGTGAAATATCCCCATCTCCCACAAAATCTCCCCACCACCCTCACTCCTCCTTCGAAATGTTAAAATGAATAAAAATTTACTTCAATTAATCATATAAGATACGTTATTGAAGATATAAAGACAAGTACATATGATCAAACATGAAAAATAGCTTAAAATGTTCAAGTTAGAAAATTTTGTAAAATTTGAAAATCTGTATCTCATAAACTATTTGATTTACTGAGCCTGTTCTGGTGTTAAATTGTAGCGTATTTAATTTATTTTAAAACTGTCTAAAATGTTTTTGTCGAAAACGTGCTGCTTCATGTTCAAAATGGAGAAAAAACGAAAAAAAGTCCAAAAATATAGAAGTTTTGAGGGCTTTAAAAAATTATCCGGGGGGAGGGAGGAGGGGCACCAATGTCGAAAACTTAGATTTCGTATCTCAGCTAGATCCCATACAAGAAAATCTTTTCATGAATTTTTTTTTTGTATACCTTTTTCTGATAAATAATACATTTTGCCACACTTAAGGGCACTGAGTACTAAAGCTGAGTGAGGCACATTCATACCATATATATATATATATGGTATGAATGTGCCTCACGACCCTATATATATATATATACTGTATTATATATATATATATATATATATATATATATATATATATATATATATATATATATATATATTATATATATATATATATATATATATATATATATATATATATATAATACAATAAAGAAATAAAAAATATATAGATCTATATAACAAAGGCAGAAACAATAATAAACCATGGAAATGTAACTTAGAGCTCAAATTAAATAAATACAAAAATTCTTAGCCAAATTAAATAAATTATAAGTAAAAAAAAAAAATAGATAAAAAACAGGAAAAATTAGCAAGAAAATCATTCATATTTAAAGGTGTTAAATTAAATAAATCAGAAAAATATTTAAAGCATTATTTTAATAATTACATATATCTATAAAAATAATCCAAACTATAAAGCCATGAGTCTCCATCACATAAAACATGCCACCTTTTGGACAATTCCGGTATCATCAGGTCAGAAAAACAACATAAAAAACATTTGCTATTGATATCTCATCAAGGCTTCCTTTATGTTCCAAAACATACTGAAGGAACCAGGAGAGGAAGGTTATATATAAAACAACTAATTGGCAGGGATACAGAAAAAAAATCTTTACACTTGTTATATAATAACACAAAAATGTGTTTATAAAATCAAATAAAAAAAGAAGAAATAAATAAATACAAAAAAAAAGTTGGTGCGGTTTGCGATTCACACAACTTTCACTTATCACTCTCTTCTTTGCAAAAATAAGTATATTCAGACAAAGGGGAAGTGAAAGTAAATATTATAAAAGCTTTATTGATTTAAAGTTCATTGTGGGTATTGTTATCTGTTTAAGTGCTCTTATATATACAAATTTTAATATTTATATCGCTGTAATCTATAGAACTAAATATTAAATAATTCCAACGAAAACATTAATGAAAACCGCATATGTATATGTACATAATTTTGTTGGAGTCCGTATTTAGCTCACGTGACGTATGGAAGCCTGTTCTAATCTTCGGGCAATCTCGGGTGAGCTCGGGCTAGCTCGTATTCCTTCATACAGCTATTCTCTGTTACGATCTGTTATTTCTTCTTTATTTAACTATCAAATTCTTTCATTCTTTCAAGTTATTTTTTATATCAGAGATCAATGTGAAATGGTTAATTATTTCAAATAAAAAAAATTAAAGGTATGTTAACGGAAGCTAATATTAGAATTTAGACGTTTAAGCTTAAAAACTGCTTGATTTCACACTATTATAAAGAATTTAATCAAAATCGTTAGAGCCGTGTTTGAGAAAATCGTAAAAATGTATTAAATCGATTATACAAAGTTACCCTATTTTTTAAGAAAATGTTGCTGTAACATTCCAGACATATAAAAACCTTAAATATGTAATTGAACATTCGTACGACTTTTCGTTTTTGAGCTATACTGTTTTTTTTTTTTTTTGTTTTTTTCATAGCCCCTTTCTACATATTTTTGTCTTTAATCCTTGGATTGTCTTTATAATACTCCTTTTACTGCTTAAAAGCATAGTAAGGTTTATTTTTAGATTTTTATCATTTATGAGTATTTTGTTCTCCATTTGTAATATAAAGGTGATGGGGCTCACCTCAGACTTAAGTTGACCTTATCCTCTAGAGCTTACAACTAAACTAATAAAAATATCGATATCATGTGATTTGTTGCCAACGTTTTGGAATTTTGGCTGGTAACAAACTGTTAAAAAGAGGGTTCGCCAATTGTTGGGATTTTTCTAAAAATGATTTTTTTCGTTTTGCGAAAAATTCTTTTATTGTTGATAAGTTTAGTGTTGCTTGTATATCTACTGTCTTCTTTCTCTGCAGCGTGGTTCCTCTTACAATTTTTTTAATTATTCCATTTTATACAATATACTGTTAACAGACGTACTGACAATTTAGCGGGACTTGGTTATTTGGACTCTAGGGACCTCAAAACGTGTATTTCCGTTAAAAACTGAGAATTGAAAATTTTCACGACCGATATATTTTCCAGGTATTTGAAAGGTATTGAAACCATCCATACAATACAAAACTTAGCTTTTTGAAATTTTTGCTTATTGGGTTGTATTATTTGTGGAGTATTCTCCTATCCGTTAAGTTTTGTGGGATATGTATGTTTTAGACACCTTTGAGGTTTTTTTTTTTTGTTTCTATCAATTTGCGCTTTTTTTTTTTAAATTTCATTAACACATTTTTGTACTATTATATTTTAAGTATGAGGATTGTTTTGTTTTTTTCGGTATCCCTACTAATTAGCTGATTTATATAACTTTCCTCTCCTATTTTCTTCTTTTTTTTTTTTTTTTTTGGATGGTTTGATTAAATGTCAATATCAAATGTTTTTTATTTCTGCTTATTTAATCAGTGTACATAAATATTTTTTTCTGCCCTGATGATACCTGAATTTGTGAAGCGTTGGCAAGTCAATTGTCCCCTTGTATGTTAAAGATTCGTGATTTAATAGTTTAGGTTGTCCCATTTAAAATATCTCTTTTAGAGCTTTTTGCTTACTATAGTGCTATAAATGTATTGTTTTAAAAATCTTTTTCTCAATATTTAGGAAAATCGCAGAGCAGTGTTGTTTTTTATCGAAAACGACCGAGATACCGTCCAGTATAAGATAACACTATTGAAATGTGGATTAACACGAGAAAAAAAAACGAAATTTTGTGTCCAATTTTTTAAACAGCACTCAATATATATGTTTTAAGTAAGGAAAGGAAGATGTATCATCAATGAAGAAGATATTTACTTTGGAGATATTTTATAGAATGTAAGCTGCAGAATTTAATCAATCAATACAATTATTTCACATTAAATACTCATTAAAAAATGACGTTTCCTGAAATATATACAATGAAATTGAATTAGGTGCTATTTATAGTGATTAAAGTTTTTATTTTTATTTTAATGACTGCATTATGCGTCAATAACAAGCAAATTAATGTCTAAATGTCAATGAAGTAAATTAGCAACCTTTATTGGCATGTGTGACATAAATATTTGTTCAAGTGTCTGTGTACTCTAACGTTCTTTAAAAGACTGAAGACTTCAGTAACAGAGCTCATTTCATACATTTCTTAACTAAGGTAAGTGGATTAATTTATATTCATAGTAATTAAATTCCTAATAATGATATATTTTGGCACAAAAGTAAAGTATTCAAAATAAACATTCTTAAAAAAAAAAAAAAAATCAAAGAAACTAAGTGAGTCGTTTATTTCCAAAGTATATCCAAACTATTACTTACAATTTTTCAGAATAAACAAAAAATATATTTTATATTCCAATTGTATTGTCAAAATCAATATTTATATAAAAAATATAAATATAATCATATTATCATATAGTTCCGAAGATCACTAATGATTCCAATAGTAATTAAGAAACACTGAAACTTAATTAGAGTTCTTTTAGGAACAAAGACAATTTTTAAAACAAAAAAAAATTTTATTGAGATTTGGTTGGATGAGAATAAGATTCGATTTTCATTTGAATAAAACAATTAAAAAATTTTTTATAAATCATATTTTTAAGAATACTTAAGAATGAAAATCACATAATATTCCTTGAAAAAGTGACAGTTTCGGAATTAGACTTATTTTTTTTTATATTTATGTTCGATTTTATCCGAATCAACCGGTCACAATTCACTTTGAAAATAAATGACACAGATGATCTACCAATTCCTTTAATTAATTAAAATTAATCGACCTAATTGTTAGCAACTTAGTCGTGTTAAACTCATAATTGTGTTAAACCGTGAACATAATAAAAGGAAGATTAAATGTATACTTCAAAGTAATAATAAAAAATATTCCGATTGTTCGTCATTCTGTCAACTGAAAGGTTCAAATATTAATTAAAAATAATTTATATTTTTTAATGCCTTTACTTTACTTTATTATTATTTTACAAGCTTCAATTAAAAATGATATAAATATCTGTAAATTACAATATTTGCATCCGTTAATACAAAATACATGATGAACAAATCAATCCATTTCATTGTGAAAAAATGGTGCAGCTTACGCATCACATAATTTTCACATATTAGTCTATTTAAATAATTAAATTTTTACTCAAATAGGAATAGCCAATATTTAATTGTGCAAAACTATTTTTTTTTTTTTATTAAATTGAAAATATATTAATTCGATGTGCCATAACCGGTTAGTCGATTTTGGAAAAATGTTTGCTGAAAATCTCAGGCATATACCAACCTTAACTAAGTAATTTTAGTTTTGTACGACTTTTCATTTTTTAGTGCGGCTATTCTGAAACTATGTAGCACATATGAACGGACAGAAAGTAGGGTATGCAGATTTAATTTATTATTATTTATTGATTAAGGCACTTACCAAAAAAAAAATATATATATATATATATATATATATATATATATATGTTTTGTAAGTTCAAAATTAATCAATTCGAAAACATTATGAATATTTTACTTGTAAATTTGAAAATTACAAGTAGAAGATAGACCTATCGGTAAAAATGGAGTGATTGAAATCATTTTAGTCCAAGCACACCATTTCATTGTAAAATTTTTCTATTTGGATATGACAGTCAGTGACTGCCTTAATAAGATAGAACTATCATTGAAATATTTTCATATTACTTTATTTACTTGGATAGCCGCTATTTATTTATATACTATAGAGAATTGTGTATGTAATTATATATGTAATTATTCACAGATTTGGCTTTTTATAGAGTTCTGCAAGATGGTTGTAGCAAGCACTCTCATTCTGCGGCTAAGCTTGATCTGTACCGTGTTGGTCGCAAGCAGTGCCATCGATTCGGCAAACTGGATGAGACAGCACATGGGATTACTCGGTGGAAGACCACTACAACGCATCTGTATTCCAGGAACGCACAACTCCGGAATGCACACTCTCAACGGAGGAACCGCTTTCGCAAAGACATGTAACATCCTGAACCAAAGTCAGAGCATTCGTAGGCAGCTTGAAATGGGAATCAGGTATTTTGACATTAGACCCATTATCTCCGGAGGAAAGTTCAAGACCGGGCACTACAGCAAGATTCCAGGAGGTCTTTGGCAAGGAGGGAATGGACAGTTTCTCGATTCAATCATCAACGACATTAATGACTTCACAAGAGAACACAAAGAGCTAGTCATCGTTCATTTGTCGCACGCTTTGAATACGGACGTGGGGAAAAAATATAGAAGTTTCAACGAAGAAGAATGGAACAGGCTCTTTCAACTGCTTGAAAGAACAGAGAACCTGTTCTTTGGACCTGAAAATGCCTACCTTCCTGGATATACCTTGGGACAACTTACAAACAATGGTAACAGAGCTGCGGTTATCTACATAGTCAACGACGCTGGAGCAAAGTTAGGTCATCGTTACGGCAGAGGGTTCTTCTACTGGGGCAATATCCAGGTATATGACAGGTACGCGGACTCCGACAAGGTTTCAAGTATGTCCAACGATCAGTTCAACAAGATGAAGCAGGAGTCACCCAGGAGGTATTTCCTTCTTTCGTGGACTTTGACCCAGAAACCCTTTGACGCAACCACCTGCCCGATGGGAAAGAGCATAAGCAAACTCGCCAAGGACGCCAACCGCAACCTTCATAAGATATTGCCAGAAGTTTCGGTGGCTGCGTATCCCAACGTCATCTCTGTGGACTTCGTCGAAAGTCTTGAGGTCGCTGAACTGGCGATGGCTATTAACAATAAACTAGTTTTTTAATGTATACTGGTTACACAGAGATTTTTTTTACTGATTATTTGTTTATTGATAAATATTACAATCTGTCTTAATAAAGGACATTTATAATAGAGTTCTGAGAGCACATTCACACCATATTTACAAAGTTAAAAAAAAAATAAGCTAACTTCAAATAATATAAAGCTACAAAAGAACAAAATAAAATATAATAGTGAAGGAAGAAAATATAAATAATAGTAATAATAGAATGGAAATAAATGAATAAAATAGAATTAAAATTATGTTAAAAAAAATAATAAAAAAAAGTAATGAAAATAAACTTAATCTAAAATAAATTTTAGATGCAGGCATACACTATTTACAGTTGGCCATAGGAACTCCGAACCATACTTATCCCCCCACATGTGGAGGGAAAGTAAGGCTTCAGGAGATCCCTGCGCTTCTTCCTCAACCATTTCACTGGTATTAAAAGCCAGCGGAGATATACAGAGATTAAAATAAAAAAATAAAAAATAATTTTTAAACATTTTTGGTATAACTGTAATTTTTATGTTCAATAATTTAAATTTCTTTTGAAACAAGAACTATTTCCCAAGACTCTTTCGATATACGCGTTCTGTTTAAACAATTCATTTCTTCAAGAAGTGAATCTATAAACTATTAATTATAAACAACATGTTTTCCTAATTAAACAAAGGGAACGTGAAGATTAGGCAATTTATTCGAGGAAAATTATATTAAATGGAAGAACTCTTATACTCTATTTTTCATTGGTAAAAAAAGACATTTAGTTAGACTAATATCTCTTCGATGTTTTTTTGTGTAATAAATAAATTAATACAAAAAAATAATTGATAAAATTCTCTACTATATTTTATCTGATTGAGAATTCTCAATATCATTATATATTAAAGGTGAAGAGGAGTGAACAAACAAAATAAAATTAAACTTCTGTTGAGTCTTTAATTTACTATTTACCATATAAACTGATAATTTCTTTAATAACGACCTTTTCCTTATTCCTATATACCAACTCATTATTATTATTATTATATGGCGTTACGACCCACTTATTGAGCCAAAGCCTACCATATCATAGTACCATTCTTCTCTGCTTCTTGCAGCTACCTTCCAGTTCCAGACACCAAACAGGAACCTTGAGTCAGTAGCCAACCAATCCTTCCAGCAAAGGGACGTCCAAATCTTCCAGTGACATTACATATTCCAAAAAGGTTTTATTTGGAATTTAATTTGGTTCAACATGGCCGACCCACGAAGCATCGATAACTTAATTAAGGAGCATACATCAACATCTGTATGCTTCTTGATTCGACATTAGTTCCCTTGTGGCTTCTCAACGGTGCTTGTTCATTCCACTGTATATTCTTCTTCTTAACACCTCTCTGTCGAATCTAAGGACATGTTCCCGGGATTTAGTCTCCGTCCAACATTCGAAGCCATATGTAAGGACCGGTCGGATAAGTGTGTTCTATAAATTCTTATAATTTCTCATTAATGTTCGTCGTTGTTATAAAAATAAATAAATACAAAAAATGATTGATAAGATTTTTTGTTACCTTTCTAGGGTGAAATTGAATAATATTTTTAAAAAAATACAGTGGAATATAATTATTTATTTATGAGAAAATGAGAGAACAAATAAAATAAAAATGATATTCTGTTGTGTAATTAATTTACTATTACTATAGTACTATACCTATAACTATACCTAAAATAATAATCTACCTCAAAACGATCCTATTCCTGAACCTAATATATATTAAACCTCGGTTTGCAAATATTTGTTTAAGATATCGCAAATATATATATCATGGGTGATAAATGTTCAGGACGCACTCATTATAAAGTTTTTATTGGTCCTTACGTTTCAATCCAAACATTTAGGCCATCAACAGGGCTTGTTTCAAGCACTGAAGGTATTCAAGCACTCGTCCTATTGCAGTTTAGGCACTACACCCTTAACTGCAATAGGCCTATCTAAAGTAGACAAGAAGATTTTTTTTTTTTTGGGAATGTGTTTTTGCAGCCTACCGCTAGGTAGTGTGGGAGTGCTTATTCACAAAAGAACTTTGAGGTTTATTCTTGAAACTCCCTAAACATTTTTTTTAAGTCTCTTGGAACCTTTGGGCCCTCTTAGTGAGTGGGGTCCGATTCAGGTTTAAATTTGAGGATCTCTAACAGAAACTGAAGAGAACAGAAAAATATACATAGCATTACCAAGTCAAATTTAGATTTTTTCAAACTAAATTGGGATGTTTTCAAAACAAATTCAGAGCTTCAAAAATAAAATTGGAATGATTCCAAATCAAATTTAGAATTTTTCATTTCAAATTACCAACCAATGGATAATAACACCAAATGGATGGTTCATTTTGGTTTTTTTTATCAAATTCCTTAGACGTAGTACCTTTTATGAATAATAAGGTTAGGCATTATAGTAAGTACAATTTTGGAAATTCTCAAATGAAAGTTTAAATGAATTTTCTAACTCTGAAGCATACCGCACATCAATTTTAGTCTATGGGCAAAAATTTACAAATTTCGAATCAATTATAGAATAACAATGGTGCGAATTTCGTTACAGGACGAATAAGACCTCGTTTTGCGGTTCTAAGTTTCACAACGTGCACTGTCCCATCAGGACCTAGAAGGACTTTTACGACTTTTCCTGTAGGCCACTGTAGTGGGGGCATGTTAGATTTCCTTTACAAGACTTCATGAATAGAAGTTAGAAAGAAAACCCATTCAATGTATTAGGCCTTATAATTTAACTGAGCCCATCAAATTCCAGCTGGAGGATAAACATGCTCGCAATTATCGATAAAATGTAGAGAGGTTTTCGGGGTTTGTCTGTAATGCTACAACTCCAAAGACATACAAATGTCTTCTGATCCTACATTGGCATGACTTCACTAAATAATCGAAGTCATCTTCATTTCTGCCTAAGCTGCGATGTTAATTGCTTGGCCGGTCTTAGACCAATGCGATTTCTCTACTTCTTTCCTGCAATTCTCCAAATCCAATTGGAAACTTGGTTCTGATTCTAGAAGGTGAACTCCATCAATGCTGTTTTTTTTTTGGTTTTTTTTTAGTTGTCATCCGCCTTTTAAATGTTTTCTATACCTCTTTGACCAGAGACTCAAATCAGCTTTAGTTCCTTGCTAAAGATTCGAGTTCCTGCACCTATTATTCCACTATTCAGCAGTTTACCTTGTTTGCTTCTAGGGCTTAGAGGGTGACCGATACCACTAGCGGATCCAGGATTTAATTTTGGGGGGGCTTGAGCCCGAAACTTTTTTTTTCATAAAAATAACGATAATTACTTTGGAAAAACAGAAAGAAACTAACTACCTATATGAAATGGTGTTTAAGTTATTCCTTAAGTACTATTCAATGTAATTACCCGAAGAATAATACTTTAAGAGGTATTTTTTAAAAAAATTTTCCCACATAACATGGTTATATTTTTCCATTTTGGGGGGGGCTTCAGCCCGAAAGCCCCCTCCCCCCCCCGTAGATCCGCCCGTGACCGATACTGATTCTATTACAGCTTATAACTTTATAGTACATAAAAATAGTTCAACTTAAAAAAACGGCAGTATATTTGCCCAATGAAATCTTTAGGTTAATGTCTATGTTCTCTGCAGACATCCTCGTCTCCAGAATCCATTCTAGATACAATGGGAATCTTGGGACTCAAAAAGCTCGATTCTAACGATAACTAAGATCGGTTGATTAGCGAAAATTAGTTATTTACAGTAATTGTCAAAAGTTTAGACTCACTTGTATTTAGTTTTGCACAAAATCGGTCTTGGTCTTGCACTTTGCAAAAAATCGATTTTTTAAATAAAAGTAATTACTAATACATGACAATTTCAGTTACTATATGTTAAGAATTGGTGTAACCAATATACTTTTGCTTTTAACTCTTCTAATTTTCATTCAGACTTAGTTAGGTTTCTCATACCTAAAAAATTACACTAATATATCGCTAGTAATAAGCTAATAGGTAGCTTCAAGACTGTTAGGAGAGTCTTGCGCAAGACCAATACTGAGTTTGCAAGACCAAGACACTTCTTGGTCTCCCATTTAGATAACACTACTATTCTGTAATAATTAAAATTAAAGAAAATAAAAAACTACTTACGTTAACTAAAAGTGTATACAAGTCAAAATAAATTAAATTATCAACAAGATACTTAAGGCTACTACACATAGAGAGCGACATGTCTCGGCGATACGATATTTCTTTTGACAGCGATATGGCGATAATATAGTTTTATATTATGCATTACAGCAATTACAAAGAGTGCAATAATCCGTAGCGATACCGACAAAGGGTATCTTATCGCAGGGAGATATCGGCTTATTTCGGCAACAGTACTAGTATTTAATTCAAAATCTTTAGTATTAATTAAATAATTGTAACTCAATAGATAACATATCAAACATAAATATCAGCAGACATCCTTCTAGTTCCTTTTTCAACTTAAAACTGTTTAATATTTCTACAGCATCTGATTATTTTGTGATTGATAAGGTGAACTAATAATAGTATCTCTATAATAATATCATTAATTTGTACTATATTTACCACTAATTTTCTGAGATTCATTCTAAGATGAGTTCATGCACATTACACATTATAAAAAATTGATTTTAAAGTTTTAATTTAGAACAACTGGTAATTATTTAAAAAAAAATAACAATTTTTTACTGGATTTATTAAATTTTAGAAATATTGAAACACGTGCTCGAGAAAAACATTATAATATACCAATCAAGAAAACTTTTTCAACTAGAACATTGCCAAAGTTAATAGAATGAATACCAAAAATATGCAAAGCTCTGATCAAGGCTAAAGGAGGTTATTTCGAAGAATAAAAAATTGGCAATATGCATAATTTATAAATAAAATTATAGTTGTTATGTAATAATTGCACTTGTATTTATCAAAATAAAGCTGATTTTTTATTATTTATTTACTGGAAAATTGAAAAAAATATAGATAAAGAGAGGGAAGTGAGAGAAAGGGAAAATAAATGTTTAAAAAAAAGGATATAAAAAAAATTATAGTAATACATTTATATAAAAATATTGTATACTATGCTCATACATATTGTTATATAATTATAAATCATTTTAAAAATTGTCTGTAGTGATTAATAAGTATGCTGTGTTTTTAGCAACCCAATGTGATTGGGCAGCACTCTTTTATGATAATAAAGTGATTCTCTCGCATACAAGTTTTGTTTTTTATTTATTTTAAAAAATCTAATGGTGTGTCTAAACTTTTTTTTTTTCTTACCCTCCAAAATGTTTATTGAATCAATTTACATATATAGTCTGTCTAAACTTCAGACCTGTAGTGTGTATAATGTTTATGAACAAAGTAACTCAGTGGGTATAGGAAGGTATATTATTAGGTATAATTACACTATTATTTTCAAGATGCCGGGGATAGGTCTTAATTTATTGTGTTAAATCAGCTAATGATCGACCTTGGGGGATTGCGAGACTTACCCTTCCTGGTTTGTATTAGTAATTCCTTTTTCTTTTAGATAATGTTTAGTTTAATTTATGTTGATGCTACAACCGCCGATAATTTGTAAAAACACGTATATAAATAACAGTTAATGTTATTATAATTATTTATTACTCCACAGATTGGGCTACGAATACAGTTCTAGAAGATGGTTAGAGTAAGGTTCGATCTGCTGTGGCTCAGCTTCGTTGGCACATTCTTAATCGAAAGCAATGCCTGGAAAACATCGGACTGGATGAAGGACCACATGAAACAAATTGGCGAAAGAACTCTCAAGCAGATCTGTATCCCAGGCACACACAACTCTGGGATGAACCAGATCAACGGAAAAACAGCATCAGCTAAATCTTGCAATATCCTACACCAGAGTGGGACTATACTCAAGCAGCTGGAACTGGGTATTAGATTCTTTGATGTAAAGCCAGTCATATCCCAAGGAAAGTTCAAGACCGGGTATTACAGAAAGAATTCAGAAGATGTTTGGGAAGGTGGAAACGGGCAGTTTATGCATTCAATTGTCAACGACATCAATAAATTTACTAAGAACCATAATGAGCTCGTCATCATCTACTTGTCGCAGTCACTTAATACGGACATGAAATACAGAAGTTTCAACCAAGAAGAATGGAACAGGCTCTTTCAACTTCTTGATCGAACACGCAATCTCTTTGTAACCTCAAGAGACGCCTATCTTCCTGATTTCACTTTAAGAAATCTAACTGGTAATTGGAGCAGATCTTCAGTTGTCTACATCATTCACGAGAGAGAATTTGACTTGGGCGATCGTTTTGGCAAAGGATATTTCAATTGGAAAAGTTTGGCGTTGTATCTCAAGTATTCAGAAACAAATGACTTTTCTGTTATGCTCGAAGATCAGATTAACAAAATGAAGACAGTATCGCATAGCAGGTATTTCCTCTTTCCTTGGACTCTTACGTTGAGTTCGGATGACGTTGCGATGTGCCCGATAGGGACGAGTGTCAAACTCCTCGCCAAAAATGCCAACGAAAATCTTCACACGATAGTGCAATATGTCTCGGAGAATGCATATCCCAACATCATATCAGTTGACTACGTGGAAAATAATGAAGTCACTCTCGTGACACTGGCTGTCAACAATTTGCTTGATTTTTAACTGAAATTGTAAATTGAATCGTTAAATAATCACTTTTCAGAAGATTATATACATGTATACATTCCATTAAAATTTAAAATTAAAAGTTTTTGATTTCATAATCCCAATAGTACAATAACTATAATAATAATAATAATAAAAGGCTTAGCGAACCCGAAGGTTCGATGCCGACACCACCAATCGCTTATTACACACCTCCCTCCCCCGTTCGCCGTCCAAACCCAGTCCCTTCAGATCGGCTTTAATGCAATCTTACCACTTTCGCTTCGGTCTACCCCTCGGACGTTTACCATTCGGCACAGCAAATATTAATCTTTTAGGAATTCTCTCGTTACTAAGCCCAACAACTTTACAAGCCCATTTGATTCGCCGCGACGAAATTACCTCAATTATATTACCCGGATACAGTTCACGCAATTCGGCGTTGTGTAACCGTCTGAACTCTCGGCTTAAGTCATCCATCTTTGGTCCGAATATTCTACGCAATACTTTATTTTCAAAAACCTTAAGACGCTGCTCATCCCTTAATGTAAGCAGCCAAGTTTCGCATCCATAAAGAACTGTAGGCAAGATAATGAATTTTTTTTTTATTCACTATACAAACTCAATAACAACTTTATTAACTAATTGTAAATTAAAGGACTTTGCTCTAAATATTTTTTTTCCTCTTTACACCTAACGATAAGTTTTAAATATTTTTGTGATACAAACTTTTAATTTTTTTTAAGGATTTATTTTGATAGAACTATCTTAAAATGCATAAATTTTACTTAATTAAATTGAAGTAAAGTTAAGGTAAGTTTTATAGGCATTTTTATCTATAAAAATGTATTATATGTCTACCTAAAAAATTAACCCCTAACCTCATCAAATAAATGAAAGCTGGTGTCTGGAATAAATTAATAAGAAATTCTGTTTTTTTTTTTTGTTTGATTTGTGCCTTGAAGGACCACTTAAATGGCATTTCATATATATAGTTCTTTCAAAATAATTACCGTTATTAAAATTTAAAAAAGAACTGTGGCGTGTACTTTAGACCACAGGATAGAAGTGAAAACATCAACAAGCGAGATTAATAATATTAAATATAATTTTTTTTTGTTTTATGTTCACAAATTAATATTTTTTTTTTTAAACTTTTATTATGATATTTACAACTGTATTAGTATGAATACATCAAGTAAATGTGTACATAGAAATATTATCACATGAAACACGCTTGTTGAGAAACTACCCATTGGTAGCACTCTAATAATTTGTCTACATGAGAAGATCACGAGGCCATCACCTTTTCAGAGGCCTCGGAGGGTCATCGAGGAGGAAGCAAGGTTAGAAACAAGAGGATTCGGATGGTTATGAAGTTTATTATGGAAGGATAGGTATCTGGATTTGGCCAAACCGGAAACATATGGAACATTGAGGTCTTTATGGATTATTTTATTTGTGACAAAGTAAGGAGCATTGAGGATTTTACGAAGATTTTGGAGAGGATTTTGGATTGTAAAGATTGGATACGAGAGGAATTTGATGGTTTAGTGGAGTCCCATAGCTCAACTCCATAAGTCCAAATAGGTCTTATTATAGTCATGTATATGAGTCGTTTGTAATTCATTGGAAGTTTAGAGCGTTTGTCCAGTAAGTGTTGGAGTAAGCGGAAACGTCGAGGAGTTTCTTGTCGTTTCAGTCTTGTATGGGGATTCCAAGTGAGACGTTTGTCCAGCTGGAGTCCTAGGTATCGGATTTGTTCTACAGGGATAAGTGGGGTGTTATTAAAGGATACTATAGGACAGCAAGTCATTTGTTTACGACGAAGGGTAAAGATTTGATAGGATTTATTGGAATTTATTTTAATCCTCCAGTTTTGACACCATTCTTCAAGGTTTGTGATGTGTGATTGAAGAGTTTGGGATGTAATTGTTGGATCATTATTAACTGACAGGATACACGTGTCATCAGCATACGTAGTGATGACAGTGTTAGGATGGGTTGGGATATCAGCTGTATAAACTGTGTAAAGGATAGGACCAAGGATACTACCTTGAGGAACTCCGGCAGATTGAGAAAAGAGGGATGAATAGGTATTATTGTGATTTACTTTGAAATGTCTATCAGTAAGATAGGAACTGATGATAAGAAAATATGTAGGGGGAAGGAATTTACGGAGTTTGTAAAGCAATCCCGGATGCCTGACTCGATCAAACACCTGTTCAACGCCGAGAAAAACTCCAGTGCAATTCATTCCGCACTCCAATGCAGAGGAGACAACATCTACCACACGATGACACTGCTGGATAGTGGAATGGGATGTGCGGAATCCAAATTGGTGATCAGGGATTATGTGGTTAGAATCTACGATGGAATACAGGCGTTTTAAGATGAGCTTCTCCAGGATTTTGCCCATGATGGGTAAAAGAAAGATAGGACGGTAAGAGGATGGGTAACAAATTAATATCAATAATAATATGTACAATTATGCACATGATTTAAAATTGAATGTTGATAAGACCAAAACCATTCTGATTGGTTCCATGCAACTGATCAACCTCATTTCTTATTATCCTGTACTCTTCCTCAATGGGATATCTATTCATTTCCACACTTCTTAATATCTGATAATATTTTTTCAAGATCTGTCCTGAAATTATCACATTTCTCAAATTATCCGAAAGTCCATTGCTACTATCAAATAGTTCCAAAGAATTCGTGACTCAATGTCCCTTAAAACCCATCAGTTTCTAGTTTTCTCATCATTTTCACTTCAATTATGGCTACCTTGTATACGGTGGACTGTCCAGTGGGTTTGAGATCAGATTAAAGAGACTAATGGATTGTTTCATTAGATTTATCTTTGGGGTCCCCAGGCGCTCCCGCGTCCCCAGTTGATATGCCGAGCTGAAATGGCTCTATCCAAGTTTCCGACGGCAATATTTCCTAGGCATATTCTTTTTTCCGAACCTTTACAATCGAAAAACCTTCTCACCTTCTTGATTTCTTTACTCCTTGTTCCTCTGTTCATTCGTTCAGCACAAGATCCCAAATCTGTTTATTCCTTCTCCTAGAACTGTAAATATCCTTCGTTAAATAAATCCTTCTTAAATAACTCTTTTAAAAACTCCTTCGTCATACGTGCTACATCATTTTGGAATTCCCTACCAATCTCTTTACAGAAATCCTTGAACTCCTTTAAACATAATTTATTTTTCCATCTCCTCTAAAATCTATCTTCGAATTATAAATAAAATAAATTTGTTTTGTACTTTAGAGATGTCAGTTACATTATACTGATATCTATGTGCCATATTGCATATTTGTAAAAATACATGAACTCACTCCAATGTATTTATCTTTAAACTCATATGTCTACTTCAGGATCATATATCTACTGCAGTGTATTTTCTTTATTGTAATATTAGGGTTGGAAAACCCTAGGGTTGGAAAATTAATTCACTCCTGGGAAAAGTTCAAAGTTCAAACTACTGCTTTGAGTTGCAAACGTGGACCAGTTGCAGAAGCAGCAGTCGTAGAAAAGAGGTCGTCCTCAGGCGGCTAAGGATCGGACATACTAGACTGACTCACCTCAACCTCATAACAAAAGATTCTATCCCCAAATGTAAAAAGTGTAACCAATCACTAACTATAAAACATATTTTGGAAGAGTGTCCTTTTTACACCGCAAGATTAAAAGATCTCGGAATACCCCAGAGTATATCAGCATCCCTGGGAAATCAAGAAGAAATCGTTACCGAAGTCATCAAATTCCTGGGTAGTGAAAGACTTAAAAAACATATATGACAAGCTTATAATTAATGATCCTTTGCAGATTTATTTATTTATTTATTATTATACTTTTTTATTTACTTTTGTATAGTCGTTTACTAATTTCAATTAATTTATTGATTTTACTGCTATTTGTTTAAAGTTTATTTATTTATGTATTCTATCTTATTATCTATAAATGTCTATTATTATCCTTATTTATTTATATTATTCTATCAATCCATTTCTTTATTTTTTTTGTCTATTTTTTTTTAATTTTTGTACCAACCATCCAAACAGTATTAAGTGTTGTTATTTAGTTGATAAGGCGCTTATGACCTGGATGTTTTGCGACTAGACATCGAAACAAAAAAACAACTACTGTTTTGAACATTTGGACTGAAATATCTCAAAATTTAAACACCACAGATAATCCAGAAACCGATTTGCGTAAGTCAATGTAGATATTTATTTTTTCTCTTTCCGAATCTAACTCAGCGTCTGGTGTGAATGTATTTATATCTCACTATAATTACTGTCCACGTGACAGATTATTGCATTTCTAAATAAATAAACTCAGCAGCACGTCAAAATATATTTTTGGTTCATAACTCATTAAAAAAAAAGGTAAAATGCTGAAAATTTAACTCACTTACATTATGCAGGACCGATTTTTAGTTTCTGAGATATTTTAATACATATTTTCAATAAAACTCATTATCATTTTGTTTTCGACACATTTTTTTTCTCCTATCTAATACGGCGTTTTTTTTGTGTTACAATTTTGAATAATATCTCATTAAAAATAGGATAAAATTATGAACATTTCTCTCGCTAACAATATGCAGGTGCGATTTTCAGTATTTTAGATCTATTAATACATATGCAAAAACACTTCAATTAGTCGACTATAGTTGACTTTACCCGAACGTTACAGATCTGAGATCAGACGGCTCAATCTAATTCAATCTTTACAAAAAAAATGCCTAACTTCTTAAAGACTTTTTCACTTCAATAAGAAATTCTGTTATTTTTTTTGTTAAAGGGCCATTTAAACAACATTTGAATTTTTTTTTTTTTCCTTCGTCGGTCCAAGGCTCCCACTGAAGTCCTATACTGCAAATAACATTTCATAGATAGTTTTTTCATCAAATGTAATTATAGTTACCAAAAATAAATAAAAAAGCATAGAAAGAAACACTCCCCCCCCCTCCAAAATCGAATTCTGAATCAGCTACTGGGGA